ACCTCAAACTTTACGTGTGCTTTGGTTGTTCATGGTAACTGGTGTCCCCGCAGTTACATATTTTATTTAGTCAATAGTTTGTTCCGCTTTATTGGAACAAGGGACGCTTCATCTCTTCGGCTTCTCGCAAATGCTACGCTCTCCAGCCGCATCGCAGCGTATGTCATTCCAAATCCCCGAATTTGCGCGGCCTTGAAGGATAAATATCTAGAAAATCGAGGTTGTATTACATGTTTAATGGCTATAGGCGGATAGGAAAACATTGGCAGGTAAAAAACTTACCTCCTAAACAATTCTCGATTCCCCCGGTATTCGTCATCTGCCCAGCTCCATAGTTATTATACACTGCCGGTCATAATTTTGGCCCACCCTAAATTTTCGTGAATTTCTCGGCCCCGTACTAATGAACGGGGGAAACGCTTCAAGTATGTTATGCACCACGCTATTGAAAAACAAGGGTCTAAAGAAAATCCCGGAAAAAATTTTACATTTTGCGAAAATCCATTTTTTAGTCGAAATTCGATTCTGGCAAGTGGTCATAATTTTGGCCCACCCAAAGAAACCGGGTCAAATGCACCCAAAAACAGCTTAAAATTTTATTGAATCAATGAATTAATAATCGATTGGTCAACCCGAACAAGGGATTATTTGGAAAAGTCGATTGTCCAGGCTCATGATCAGGTTACCGATGCGCTGCTGCGCGAGGGTCAGCAAAGCCTCTAAGATCGCCTTCTTGGGTGATTTAACGTCTTGATAGGGGTTATTTATGAAGCAGAACATTGTCAACATGTAGCCCCAACTGTGTTTTATTCAATCGCGACGCGGAAATTGACTACCCGCGCAAAAAGTGGAATTCCGTGACGTCGGAATCCCGATGTTGAGCGGTTTTCCTGATCAATCGAGGCATTAATTTGCCGGACACGAAGTTCTCGCTCGGATTTGGCCGGATAAATGGTCGCGGCGATCGTCCGGAGGTGTACTCGTACTGGTTCCCGTAAAAGTTTCCCTGAGCCGCCGTGCTGTTTGTCCAGAGATCTGAAATGTGTGTAGGTTCATGCTTGTTTTAAACCAAAGCTTTGAAACCATAGGCTTGATTTGTCATGAAAAAAGGCATTAATCCTAGTTACGAACCAGTGTGTATCAGATTTAACTCACCCATTATAGCCTGATTCTCCTCGGCGGATCGAATTATTGTCACCGTTGAGTTCATACTGGCGCATGCAGCTACTGCTTGGTTTATCGTGCCTGCTCCAAGGAACTTAACAACTGTGTGGAATAATAAATTCCAAAGATTTCGTTACATTTCAATCACTTAATAATCAAACAAAGGTTTGTTTCCAGCCAAATCAGTTACCTTATAGCATTTATCTACCGTATTCGTGGAGCTCCACCCAGGTCGCAGGGGCTCTAAAACGAAAGGAAATTTATAAGGCCGAGTATAGGTATAGGTGCGGGAGCTATAGAAGAAAAACGCATTAATAAAACGATACCTGCGCCGGATCGCGCTATATTCGCAGGTCCCAGCGCTGAATTGAGCTTGGCTCGCTGCTGCGTTTCCGGTGGTACTATTCATAAACAAATAATCTAATTCCTCATCGGTAGGGCCCTAGATTTGGCAGGTGCTATCTAAAAGTTCTTACGTTGGATAATCTGTCATGATACCGTGCTTACTTATATATCGGTCCCCACAATATTAATATACCCTACTATTACAAGGACTCGCCCGAGTAAAATCAGTCAAAATTCATCATACAATTCGCAAAAAATGTGGATAGGAGTTTTGCGTATATTTTAGATCTATTCTTATTAAGATTTTTTAAAAACCGAAAACCGGCGAAACCAGAGGAATCGCTCCAAATCCATTAATTTACCTATTTGGGTACTCTGGGCAAGTGAAAAACACGTAAGATTACTTACCGATACCCTTACAATCTTCTCCTTGCCTCGCACACTGTTGGAAGCAAGTATCAGCCGGCAGAATTCCTTGTTTCGACTATTACCTCTCCTCATAAAATAGTTTTGTGCTGTGCTGATCGATAACATGGATGCAAATCCAGAGAGAAAAGATGAGGTGGTCCATGCTTTTCCAGGGCTTCCAATTGCATAGGCCATTTTGGCCCTTGTTCATATTTATTTCCCACCCTAATCATCCTTGGTGGCCGAATGAAAAGGATCACTATAAATCGGGATGCGTTTCTTGTGTACCGTACTTTTAATCTACCACTGTGCCCTTCCATAGCTTTTCATCGGTACACGTTTTTATAGCCTTTGAGATAAGGTAAGCGATCATCAAGCCATTCGTTTTGAAAGTGTAATAAAATTTTTTCTTTAGTGAAACCCATCTTGATTAATTAATTTTTATTTTTTCCTCTTTGGACATTATATTTCATTATGGCTCCGATTCTCGTTGATTTTTGGGTTTCTGTACAAAGAGATAATTATTTTTTTGTATATATCAATAGGGTGGTTACGGAAGTTTTAATAAAACCATTCGTATTAGATTTATTTTTATTCTCTTGGAAGGTTTACATAAAGGGTGTGGTCAATTCATTCATCGCTTCGACTTTTCCTAAACACCAATCTCCCACAGTACCATCGCACTTTCGTACATCGTTCCAAACACCAGAATCAGATCGCCCGCGGCCAATAAATAGCTGAAGCGAGGAGGGAGGTAAAGCTATGATTTGTTAGGAGCTATTAACTGTTTTTTTTCGCAACGACCGACCTCCAACCAGTTCTCAGCATCCCTCCAGAATTCGTCATCTGATTTAGTGCGTACGCTGTTCTTGGTGATATGTTGTCCCGTCTAGCCACTCGGGAGTCAGGTTTGCCACTGCCTATCTATAAAGAATTTGACAAATCGGAGTTATATATCTTACAGGAAGATTGCCCCAATATAAATCTGCCCGGCTGTGGCAGCGGTAGTGTTGTCCAGATATCTAAAGGCTTGGCCACTCTCTCTCTCTCTCTCTCTCTCTCTCTCTCTCTTTCTCTCTTTCTCCCTCCCCACCTACCCATCAAAGCCTGATTCCCTTCCAGCTGATCTTATCATCGTCACCACCGAATCCAGCTGCTCACATTGAGTAATTGATTCGATTTGGCGTGCTTTCCGCAAGAGCCGAAAATCACATCATCCTCTGGTGTTATCACACAGGGTGTCTCAAAAGGTTATCCGGACAAACTTTCAATGCCATTTCTTGCTATTTTTTCCCCGTTTATGCACCTTGTAGCTCCTGTAATCTTTGAGTATTTTTAAGGCACTTTGGCAAAGAAAATTTCGCAAGGCTATGATATCGCTTCGTAAAAAATCGAAGAAGTTTGAACGTAATTTCTCCCATCTGGCCCAAACCTCGAAACGCATGCTGTTTCCGACGCTATAAAGAAATCTTCAATATAACCGGCATAACAAAGAAACCACAAAGAGATCCGGAGAATAAGTCCATGCTCAGCCCAGCCCGAAAACGCCAGGTTTACTCTAGGAAAAATCAGCAAGCCAAAAGATGAAATCAAGTCACGCACCTCCGTATTTACCTTTCAAGTTTTAGCCCGGAGGAACTCTAAAATCCGATAAGATACTTTTCAAAGGATAAAAACCTAAATAGCTACAGTAACAATAATGTACAAGCAATTTAGACCAAGTTAGCTTTGATTTCTGAGGAGCTTGAGCACGAGCAAACTCGAAACACCCTTATCAGCAATGCTAAGGAAATTGTGGTATTAAATTAGAAAATCATCGTGACATGACCAAACCTTGCCGCAAACACGTCCGTTTTCGCCAGAAGGCGATCATATCTTGCCCAGAAAATATCCAGAGCACTTTTTGAACCTTTGCCCCAAGTTTCTTGGTATTTAAGAGGTGAAAATCTTACCGCGTTCTACGCTTGATTCTGAAGCTATTATAAAGTCTTCGAAAAAATTTTCGCTCAGAACATTGAAAACGCCTGAAAAAACTCATATGAAAAACATTAGGTACGAAGCAAACAGCATTAAGGCTAAAAAATGACTTTTCGTTTTGTCCGGATAATCCTGAGACACCCTGTAATATGGGCATGTACCAAGTACCTTATAACACTTATCTGTAGTGTAGTCAGTCAGCTCCACCCAAAATCACAGGGGCTCTAAAGGAAGAAACCTCGTTTTGGCCAAAAGCTTAATAAAACGATACCTGGGCAAGACTGCTATAATCGCATGCTGAAAGGGTCAATTTTGATTGGTTGACAGCTGTTTTTCCGGAAGTACTGTTAATAAACAAATTATCAGGATCTCCATCGCTTGGGCCATACATTTGGCAGCTACTATCTAAATCGTGTTTGGTTTTTTTAGCCGGGCTTCTCTACTCGAGCTATAAAAACTTAGGCTAGAATTGATACGCTGAATTGATCGCCAACCTGCGATTTTTCAGTCGAAAAACTTACCGATACCCTTACAATTGTCCCCCGCATTTGCACATTGTTCGAAGCAAGAATCAGCAGGTTGAACCACAGCACGTGCGGGCCATTGAATGAAAACGTTTTGAGCATCGCACACAGCAGCACAGAATACAGATAATATGACCAAATCCATCGCTTTTTGTATTTTTTTTGCGAGGCGCCATAGACCATTGGCCATCATAGACAGCGCCATTCGGGTCACCATGGCGTTCTGACGAACAAAAGTCGCATAACCAGGACATGTGGCGCTTATGAATTTTGAGAATCGGAAAATGTGTCAGAGATCAGCCGAGCATATTATAAAACAGATTAAAAAATACGTAATAATTATTAAGGAAGGTTTCAGGAGTTATCCTGCTTGCAAGATTTTAGCGTTTGTGGTGCGACGTCATTAACACCGATAAACTTTATTCGATACATTGAAATCCTGGCAGACAAGAAGCGATCCGTTCGTATTAAAAATTCATCCTTGGCTAACTGCTGGTCTTTGACAAAATGCCTTGGGGAATGACTGGTTGCAGTCGACGTCGTTCCAGTGTGCATCGATCGGGAACCGTTTGTCCGCGGCTACCACCCAGTACTAAAAATCCTTAGCTTCCTTTAGAGGGATGCCGACGGCATAGTCTATCGGTTACGCGCTGGAAAGAAAATGTCTCTGCGCCTTTCCGCAGGGCGCGCTCTCTGCCCTGTTGGCTACTTGCCAATTTTTTATGCGGGCATCGACACAAGCCGTCGGCTGCCCTTTAACCCTCGCTTTAGCTATCCAGCGCCGGTAGATAACGCGCGGTATCCTAACGTTCAGTGGAGTGTAGCGCCGCACCGTTATGGGCCACGGAGGGCTTCTTTGAACAGTGATACCTGGTGCATACTTCGCTGATCTCCATCACACTAGATATAGAACTGAACGTTCGCTGGAGTGTAGCGCAGTCAGGTCAGCGGCTACGCATGGAATCTCTGCGCCCTAGTACCGTGTGCACTCTCACTTTTCTGAACTTCACCGCTGGGGGGCAAATTTCGCTTTCTGGAGTCTAATAGCTGCCCATTTCCACCTTGTGAGCTCCCTATGTTTTAGAGACTTTTTACTTGCGCATCAGTATCAAGTCGATTGAGTTTCCCTCACTCACCAGCACACAATCCTGCTTGCTGCCTGCGGGACTCATTCTATTAGGGAAGAAATTGTTGTAGAACAGATCTTTGCCGTCGAACCATTTGAAGTCATACAACCCGGCGCCTGACTAAAATCTGACAATTTTCGGAGCTGAAATCACGTACCCGTTTGGCTCCCAGCATAAACTGGGCCCCAACCGACGATTTAGCACGCCAATGATCTAAAAATATAACTTGGCGCAAAACCATAAAAACCGGAAAAATCAAGAAAACCCACCGTGTAAGACCTGATTTTCCGCGGCATTATAAATTGAGACCATTTCACCACCAATTGACTTGCACCTATCGATCGTTTGTTGCAGGTTACCGCCGATTACGATCTGAAAAAAGATATAGTCGTAGTTAATCATAAGTAACGATACCTTATAGCACTTTTCTGTGCCAGTTCCCCGTGGCCAGTCGAGTGGGCAGCCATCCTAAAACGTCAAATTATTTGGATAAATTCATAAAATGCATTCAAGGAGCTCCAAAAATCATAGAGACAAAAAGAAAACGTTTAAACTAGGGTTGTTTCTCGGAACAGACCGAGATTCGGAACATTCGGAACAAAGACTGGTCGGAACGTTCCGAGATTCGCGTGTTCCGGCTGTTCCGAGATTCGGAACATTCCGAGATTCAAATGATGCGGTTGTTCCGAGATTCATATTGTTCCGACTGTTCCGAGATTCGGAACGTTCCGAGATTTGGCTGTTCCGACTGTTCCGAGATTTGGAACAGTCCGAGATTGAGCTGTTCCGAGATTCAAATTTTTTCGCATGTAAATTTAGATTTCGTGTAAATTGTGTAGATTGCATGTAACTGTTTCGATTTTGCCGTGAAACGGCAGTGTAGGCACAACTGGCCACTTAATTCCGTCGATGGTTAGATGTCGAATCTGGAAATTAAGGAAATGAGAACGAATTGGGGATCGAATCGAATCGAAATTCAGTCGTGTTTGGAAATTTACATGCGAAAAAATTTGAATCTCGGAACAGCCCAATCTCGGACTGTTCCGAATCTCGGAACAGTCGGAACAGCCAAATCTCGGAACGTTCCGAATCTCGGAACAGTCGGAACACTATGAATCTCGGAACAACCGCAACATTTGAATCTCGGAATGTTCCGAATCTCGGAACAGCCGGAACACGCGAATCTCGGAACGTTCCGACATTCGGAACAGTCGGAACGGTTGCTGTTCCGAATGTTCCGAATCTCGGCCTGTTCCGAGAAACAACCCTAGTTTAAACAACGAGTTCGGCCATGAAACCTTATAAATAACAGTTGTTGTGGTTGTCGGAACTGTAGTGGTAGTTGTCTAAAAGCGCATAATACCGTAGATTCAGGTAAGTTAACAAACCGTAGTTGGCGCTGTCGGTTTTGGTGTTGTTGTTGCTTTTGTAGTAGTGGTAGTAGTAGTAGTTGTTGTTGTTGTGGTTGTTGTAGTCTAAATTTCATCGTGTGTTCAGATTTCAGTGTTTCCGCTTTCTGGATGTTGACCGAAAACCGCTCGCTACCTGTGTCGTCTGCGCTGGCCCTGAAGGTGGTGGTCGTGGTATCTGGATTCCAGATATACGGTAAACCTCCTTTTCTATACCATTTTCTTTTTGCAGGGAACAATAGTTGGGCTCCAGGTACAAGGCAAATCATTCCATTTTCCAGAACCCGACGTTTTTGCGATATTTTCGTCCATAGAGCGGCTGGGGTCAAATTTCCAGTAACGAGTGTACATCTGAAATCGTTCAAGGAAAGGCTATCCTAATTGCTGCAGCATAGTACCTCGATACAATCCTCATCCTTATTCGTCGGCTCTTTCCGGTCCCAGTTCGTATATTTGAAGGGGGTCCCGTCGAGCCATTTGAAGACTCCGTTCACCTATTCGGTCCTCTAGATTTAAACAGGTTCCATACCTTCTTAACCCCAAGCAAGTATGCCGAATTTCTCCCGAAACCATTCCTGATACCGGCTTCTAAATGTTGGAGGGATGTATCAAAGTCAGCAAAGCTTTTTCCATCCAAACTAGAATTTGAACGCTCGATATTTGGAGATCGCCATTACCTAACAACTCCCTATTGTCGCTCATTCGCTACAGAAGCCATGCTCGCGCCAAGGGATTTGCAAGATTTTCGGCAGCGTCGAAGGTTAGGTTGTGAAGGAACTAAAACCCGGTTGACTGAAACTACCGAACAGCAGCGTTACCATGAAGCAACTCTTGGATCCGTCGGCGGGTTGCCAGCCCTTCTCGCAGCCGTTGTACTAAACTAGTTGATATCATCGCTCTCTCTCTCTCCCTCTATCTCTCTGTCGCTCTCTCACTCTTGATTACCTCTCCTTCCGGACTAGGCGGTTCTTCCGGATCTTGCGGCTGAACGGGATCGCCATTCGGATTATTGCCGTTCGGTCCTACCGACGCATCCGGATCCCCGGTTGGGATCGTTTGAGGTAATGGGGATGCCATGCCATAAGGCAGCGGACCCTAGACTTATCTAGGTTTTCTGGCTAGTTTCAGATACCTTTTTACAAACAGCCGTCATCACTTCATCACAATCTGCGTCTACCCACCGATGAATCGTCCAATCGTAGGTTTTGGAGGCTACCTGAATTCAAATACCGGTCAAAGTTAAACTATATAAAACTGGAAACGGAGTGATAGCGGCGAAGCACGGGAAGGTGGCCACGCCGTTATATAACGCGATTTCTCAAGGAATCGCTGCTAGCTTACCTTCCCCTTGGAATTTTTAAGAAAACTGTATACCTTTATGCAATTCCCTTTATTCTGCTTATCCTCGAAATCGTCGTGCGACCAGAAGAAAGCTTGATCGCATCCCCGCCTGGCCATTGGTAATTTCCAGACTTATCCTGTGGGTTTTACATCATTTTTTTGTCACTACAAGCCCTTTACCCTTTTCCCGCCAATCCAAAAGGTGTCGTTGGCCCACGGGAACAGCTGAACGAATTCTAAGAAGATTTAAATATCTTTTCCTGGCGTTTCGCTTACCAATAATGTATTCATTTTCCATTGGCGACAGAATGGACGTTAGATTGCCCCCCATCTTCTGGCACTCTTTTTCGGCTGCCGAGTTGTTGAGTTTTTTGGTTAGCTTAACAAACGATATAGCTTAAAATGGAAGGCGTTTCGAACAATAATGACCGTAAATAATGCATAAAAAGCGCAAAAGCTCAAACTACTACATATTACTTACTTTGTAACAAGCCCCGCTTCGATCCCACGGTTGCCAGCCATCGTCGCAGGCCGGGGTATGGAACTTGGGTACCTTAATAGTATACATTTAAGGATAGAGCAAGAGAGATATGTTGTTGATGATGCGTAATATATTGTAGTAAAATTTTCTGTATTTAAAGTGCTTGAAACTTACCCTATAGTCCATCTCCCTTTCGCATACACTTTCCACCTCACTCTCACACCACCACGGCCGCCAAAAGCCGGTTGCCTAAAAAAGGGGTCAGTTACGTTATTAAAGGGGCATTATTAAATCTATTTTGCCATTTTTACGGTTGCTTACTAAGCTGCTTCAGCCTTTAAAAGACTTATTGACATTCAAGGTGATTTTTGAGCCAAACGAATCTGCAATAACTCACCAAAATCTGCATGCAGTAGAACGCGTTCGAGTTCGCCGGACTCGTCGTCTTCTTCCAGTTTGTATAATTAAACTTATTCCCGTTTAGCCATTCATAGGCGCCTGTATGATTTCGAGTTACCTAGGAACTCTCCTAATACCTTAATTTGGTAGATACCTTGATCCCACCGAGGTAGAGCTTCGCCTTGGGGTCCCCCGTTTTATTCACGAGACCTAAAAGCGCAAATCAGTATATAAAATTTAGTTGTCCTATATTACCGGTGATAAATTTGTTTTCAGCTGCGGTGTTAATTGACGCTAAATGGCCGCCAAGCGCTGTACAGTCTTTTTCGCCACCAATTTGTTTTTGGGCGCGGAGAATCTGAACGAAATTGGGCTGTTTCTCTCCCACTCTCTCTCTCTCTCGCTGTCTCTCTCGCCCTCCCTCTCTATCTCCCTCTATCTCTCCCTCTCTATCTCTCTCTCTCTCTCTCTCTCTCTCTCGCTGTCTCTATCTCTTACCTTATAGCACCTCGACGTCCCTTCAAAATTCACCCATCCAGCTTCACATTCCGCCGCCCAGCAATTATGAATTACAGCCAAAACGGCAAAAAGCAGCAAATATCTTGCGGCCATTTAGAAGAGTCAAAACCACAAGGCGTGGAAGACCCTCCAGATATGGAAATTTACTCGGCATCGGCGGCTTTTGAACTTGCTCCACACGAACCGTTTTGCAAAAATGACTATGGAATAGCCGACGCAGGGCAGGGGAAAGTTCTTTCAACACCTCGCCTTAGAAACACGACGTCAGCAGTGGGGGGCTACGAAATATGAAGACTCTAAGTTTCGTTTTCACTAAGATATCGGAATCTCGTCAGGCGTCAAACGTATGTCAGTAAATGGGTAAACAATTCATCAATGATCTTTATCCAACAACAATTAAGTTTAAGCTCATCCGGACGGCTTCTTCGTGGCCGGCTCGTCAACGAATTCCCGATGATTTGCGGTTGGTGGGACGGGGTATGTACCCTGGAATGCTAATACTAATAGGCCACATTTTCATCATATATCAGCAAGTTACGTAAGTATAGGTGCTACTTTCGCTTTCGGGTATACAAATTAGAGATGTTTTTATTCAGATACAATATGCATTCAGATATCTCGCATCTGAATAAGTCATCGGAATTGGAAAATCCTAGATGCAATATAGATAATCGCATCTGAATTGGGATCCGACCCACCGAGATACGATACTATCGGAATAACTTTGCATATCGGATTAAAGGTACACTAAAGTCTCGTTGGTTTGGTTTCCGGCCGGTAACCGTCCGCGGGATAGCAAACAGGGTTACGGTAAGCGCTCGCCGCGGAGCAAAACCGAACCCTGACTGCCAGCTTGGGACAGCGCCTTGGACCACTAGGCCAAGGGGAGAGACGGGAAGGGGGTAGGGGTGAGGCGATAAGAAGGGGCTGGGTCGGCTGCGGCAGAGAGCCCAAATTTCCTACCGCGACCGGATTTTTTTGAACGAGATTTTAGTGTACCTTTAAGGGAAATTAGGGCGCTCGATAGGCGATAAAATCAATGCAAAACAAAAGACCTTAAATGCTTTCTAATCATATCGCATCTCTGATACGAATCCAAACTTACCGTCACGTTGCTTCCCCGGGGAACGCAAACTGCGTCGAAGGCTAGCAGGTTCGATTGGCTGTACCATGTCTCGCCATTGATCTTGTCGTGCATCGGCCATATAACTAAAAATACAAACTAGAAATTAAAGATTATAGAATATATAATACAAAATAGAAATTGCGCTTGTCCATACAACGATACCAACCGAATGAATGTTGTTTTCCGTCGCGGCCGGTGATGTGAACGAATTTCCCTCCGTCGGGCTGATCGTTAAGCACACGGTAGTCCTTCGGCTTTTGGCTCTAGGAATTATGTTTTAGTGCTCTGACCGCCGTTAAAAATTGGTACCATTGGGAAGACGTAGTCCTTCATCGCCTCCGGGACGAACATTTGCATACCAATGCTGACAAAAATTTGGTAAGCGAATTTTTACTCACAGGCCGCAAATCTTTTGCACGGTATTTGGGCGCATGTGCAGTTGAAAGTCCAGCTTGCAGTCCTTGGTCTTGTCGTCGCAAACCTTGGGGCAAAAGGCCGACGATAAGCCTAAAAAATGAAAGATATACGCTTTTTAACTTTTCCTTCCCAACGTTTATGTCTCTTTAAGGGGCCGAAAGTCAAAATTCGTGCGTGCGGGGATTGAACTTACTGGTCAAAACGAAATGGTTACTGCCGATAAGTAACAGAAAAGTAATTTCGTTGCGAAAAAACTTAAAATAGTTGAGTAAACCGAAAAGTTGTCGGGCTGAAAACGACTTTTTGAGTGCGCGGCGATTACATGTCGCAATACCTCGTAAGGCACCCAAACCCTTGATCTCGGTGATTCTCAGGCCAATTTTCTTAATTAAAAGGTCTAGAATGATCAAAATTCGATGAGGATTCCAGAAATAACACCAGAATTTTGATATTGGGGCGTTTTCACGTGCAAACAGGGGCAAAAGATCATGCGACGCGGTCGCGTCGGGAGGCGCATCTGGCTATTTGCCAGGAATCAACGCAGGGGCTGTGGATCAGGTTTCGAAGCCCCTTTAAAAAATATATTGGGAATTTTCATAGGCTCAACTTCCCCGTGCTAGCAACTCTGCTTACCGTAAGCCAAAAACAGCAAAAATAGAGAGTGAAGGGTCATTTTTCAGGTAAGTTTGCTATCCTTCTCGCTTTTATCCAGGTTTCCAGCCAGCCCTTACCATAAAAAAGCAATCAGCCGGGTGGCCTGGACCAAAAAGATGCTATTTCCGATTTAAACAATATTGCAGTGCACATAAATTTAAGTCCTACCTTATATAATTTGGTCGCGTATCTTTGTGTGTGTGTGTGTCCGGTGCCAGGGAAGGCTACTTTGCATAATTCCAAAAAAATACAAATTTCCTCATTCTTGAAAGTTGCACGCGCGGCTGTGGTCGGAGGAAGGGAGGGGTCCGAAGGACCCAAGCTATCGGAAAGTCAAATTTCTCATGCAAAGGCCGCATTCCAGCGCCCAAGGCCCGCGAAGCGGGTTTTGGGCGCTGGTTTGAATATAATTCTAAGCGCAGACAGTATAATTTATACTTTGTTTGCAGGGCGATCGGAATCTTAAAAAGGCGCCGGATGTTTACCGTGCAAGTGAACGCTGCAAAATGGGAATCGGGCTTTGCCAGGAGAGACACTACAATAAGACTCTTACGCTATTTCTTTTTTTAGTGATTCGGCGACCTTTCAGGCGACAGACATTTTAAAGGTTTTTATTTTCGATTTGAGGATTTCTTTTTATGAAGAGCGCGGTTGTGTGAAAATACGAAATCCGCCTTCTACCACTCTTCTCTTCTATACGAACCGCTCTTTAATTATTTTATCGGGTGTTACCATATTTCCATCCCATTTCAATATTTATTTAACCCCATTGAAACAAACAGTCGTCATTCATTTGCCCCTCGTGAGATCTTCCACAAATTCCGGCGTGGTGTTCGGTGTCTTCACGGTGGTCTTCTAAAAATTATGTGGGTTAACCTCATTCATTGTAAGAATTGGTTTTATGAAAAACCCGGCACGATGAAAATAGTGTTGTGAAAATCTGCATTATTTGGGTATTTCTGATTCGATACTTTCCGAAAATGCCGACAGCGCTTTCCAAGAAGGTGTCCGCGACAGCCCCTATCCTTCAAAATTTTGTACCACAGCGTTTCGGTGCACGCAGTTCAGCCTCATATCATCCATGCTCGTCTTATAGTACCACGTCTCGCCATCGATCTTTTCGGGCAGCGGCAGAATATCTGAAAGTTTACTTTAAGTTTCGATATATCTGGAACTAACCAAATTCCTCGGTCCTGACTTCATCATCCTTGGTGACCGAGATGGTTTCGACCTGACCCCGGGTGACGCGGACCTCTTTGTAGCCCGTCGGCTTACGGCTCTAAGATTGTGGGTTTCTATCACATTTTAAAAGCCGAAATACCATTGGGAAAACGTATCTAAGGTCCGCGTCCGTAACCAGAAGATCCATTTGGAGGCTAAAAAACCATATAGCCTCTTGTGGGTTCCTTCACTTTATCGGGTGGACCAACTTTTTTCTTAATCCTTCAAATATAAATATTGGAAGTGTTTCTAAGCCGTTTTTTACCATTCCTAAAGGTGAAAGCTTTACAAATGTTTTTTAAAAAATATCATAAATATAGATTTTTCAACTTGCTGGAAAGAAAATAGAAATGGCCGACTCTTAACCAAAATTTCGACCTTTTTGAAGGTATTAGATAGGTTTTCTAATTCAAATATGGCTACATATTACTAAAAAGACAATTAAAACGCCTTCTATCCAATTGCTAAGCATTTTTAGACATACAAAGAATCGGTTACCCTTGATAATGCGAAAGAGCCCCTTTTAGAAAGTTATCCCTACCGCCGACAGAATTTTTGGGCGGTCGTGGGACGCATCTGAAGTTTGAAGTCGACCTTGCACTCGGCCGGGTTTCCTTTGCAGATTTCCGGGCAAAAGGCGGCGGACAGACCGTAAAAAGTGCTCGTAAGAAATTTTCCAAAAACTACCGTAACCAAGAATCATCAGGAATACAGCTCTCAAAGTCATCTTTAAATCTAGGGATGATGGAAATGCCTTTTCACCTATTTTTTGCTACTTATATAGCTTGCGAGGGCGTATTAACATAAAAACGCAATAAGGGAATTTTCTTTGGATCTGTGCTCTCAATAAAATGCGATTCGGTATGGAAAAAACCTGAAGGCCAGACTGTATAATTCGATCTCTGCAAATTGTCTTGCAGAGGGAAGGGTAAGGGTGAAAATAACAGGCCTACAACGAGACGTTTTCGAGCGTCGTCCGGACTTTTGGATGGGACCGAGCTTGTCTTGTGCAGAATTATGCGCAGGTTCGGAATATCGTTACCGTTTTTTGCGGAATGGCCAATTCTCGAAAGTTATGAGTGACGCTTCGCGACTGCAACCATCTGGCCTTCGGGCTACCCCACATGTCCCACTCCACCACATCTTTTCCTACCTCCATCAATACCCCCATGGCTGAAATCCCCTTCAAAAACTACCTAAATACCTTCCTGATGGCTTCAGATACCCCCCATGGCTGAAATCCTCTTCAAAAACTACCTAAATACCTTACTGATGGCTTCAGATACCCCCCATGGCTGAAATCCCCTTCAAAAACTACTTAGATTCCATCCCGATACTTTAAATGATTTAAATAATAAATTAACATAATTAAAAAGTATTAAAAAGTATTAAAGTAACTTCAAAAGCTATTTGGGCGCGGGAAAGGGCCTGGTGAAGCGGGGTGGGGAAAGGGGGCGTGGCCTCCCTGGAGAGGGGCCCCCACTCGTTTTATTAAGGCGCCACTTTCAAAGTTAATTTTAATAATTTAAATTAAAACTTTTTCATAATTTTTTTATCGGTTTTGGGGTTTCTGACCACGCTCTATCCGAATCCGAAGAGACCTAAGCTCTAGCTCCTTTCCCCTTCCAGTTGAATCTGGGACATGACGGACGGACAGACAGACAGACACCACAGCAAAATTATTATAGTAGATTTAAGGCGGAAAAACCCAAAACCACAAAAACCCAAACAGTAATCAGATGGTAATACAAAGCCTCGGAATAGTTTTTGGAAAAAGAAAATCTTACTGAAATTACTCAAAAACGTAGGAGTCGCACGTGGAAGTTTCTTAATTCGAATCGGTTTCTTAGAACGTAGAAGTCAATTTATTCGAACGTGGAAATTGGTCTCTTAGGACGTGAAGTCGATTTATTAAAACGCAGAAGCTTCGATTTGTCATTTTTGGAACTTTATTCTTATTTTCCTTCTTTTTCAGTGTGCGACTCTTGGTATTCCATGGTTTTAAGTTTTGTCAAGTAAGTAATTAAGTAACGCCCTTATCAAACCTGGTGTCGCGCAATTTCAGTGGTTTTCGGCGTTTAAGCAAAGTAGCGTTTAAAGTTTATTAGATTGTCAGCTTTATTTTTCCTCGCTTTCGCTCGATGTCTGAAAAGCGGGATATTATTTCTTATTGTTATGGATTGCGCTTCAAAAATTAACTTGCCGGACACGGCGGGCATATATGTGTAGCCTTCAGACGACGGTACGGCTGAAAATGAACAAAGTTTTACAAAAAACTGAACTGAAAACCTCCGGATCCGAGATGCTGCCCACGGTATTGCAAGTGTTGTTGTTGCGCGGAGAGTTTCTTCCGATACAGACGAGGGGAACCTTGGCTTTTTCCTGGACCCAGAACCATCTTCCGGCAATCCTGGACTTGTGGTACACTGCAAAAAAACTGGCTAATCCGTACAATGTTTACCGATGTCATTCTCACGCCCGTCATCACCGTACAGATAAGCCCGGTTCGAATTTCCGATGCGTTCCACACGGGGTTCAGAGACTTCTTCCTAAACCTATTTTTTCGCAGGGGTTCTTTCGGATTTTAAAGTTTACGAGTCGCTGTTTTTGCATAGCGTGTTGGCTTTTTGCTGATTTTTAATAAGGGGCTTGATCTGCGCTTGTGCGCTCTTCTTTAAGAAGAAAACTTACCACCGGATACGCAAGGTTGTGGTGGCTCTCGGAGCGTTGCAGTTTGGCGTCGAGCCTGAAAAGGTTTGGTTTAAAAAATTTAGAAGGGTTTCTGGGTTTATTACACATTATTCATTCCAAGGTATTTCGTTAATTCACGAACTTTGTCCCAGCGAAAAAGCGCAAAAACAGTTACCCCAGACATACTGTCCAAGCCTCCGCGTATCCCACTTCCACTCCCAAATCGAACCGGCACCTCTGCCCGTTGAATTCACTGTTTTTCGGGCACACGGAATCAGCGGTACATAAAAAAAATTTTGTGTTTGTAAGCGTAATCATACCTAGCAATGCTAGGAACAGCGCAACATCACGGAAGGCCATTTGTTACTGAAATTTCGGCACTTTCAAAGCGTTCCAGCACCGACATGTTTCTTTTAAAGCTTTGAAATATGATAATATAATCTCTGTAGCGTTCAAGGAGCGCCGCCTTTGAAGTGGCGCTCAGATCTTCTGGTCAAAATCCACGAAAAATCCGTAAAATAGCCTCGAGCCGGAGAAGAGGGACTTTCGCCTCGGCAATTCACATCTGGTGATTTAGGTGCAGTTACCTGCACTTTTCAATCCCCACATATTTATTTTAACAATTGATATTGATCATTTGGTTGGAGACAGCCGTACCAGCAATCCTAAAAAATAGGGGTAATTTTTAAGTAGGCCAAAAATTGTTCTGAACTGTACGTTTTTAGACCGTTAAAAATCATAACCAAAGCCTGGCATTTTTTTTATAACCACAAAGTAATTGGCAGATCTTATAGCAATTAACCTTTCAGCGCTCCTCACAAGCCGGACAACCCTCATCAGCCTTCAGTTTCCGCTTTTTGTAGGGCTCAAAGTTGCTGTTTCTGCGATTCAATTGGCGTTGGTTACCTCTGGGTCAGAAATACACTCAGTAAAATAACTATAAAGGCAGTGGTTTTTGTCGAATATCTCGGCGGTTTTTGCACGTATTGAGATGCAACTTTTAGGATAAACTTCTCAAGAGTGACTTGATATCTAGTACAAATCTGAAACAAATCCGTTCGTGGAAAGTCCGATTTTTGGCAAATGACGTTTTCGAAACTGTAAAAAAACTATAAAGGCAGTCTAAAGAAATTCATTCAAAAATTCCCAAATTAGTTTCTTTGGAAATTTTCAATACAATCATGGTTGTTAGCACGTTTTCTATTAAAAATTGTTTTCTAGCATTGATGGTAGCCCATTTTTTGTCATTCGACCCGGCATGGCCAGGCCAGGTGATGCCTCCCATCTTGTAACGTTCTCGAAAAAAATTTCCTTCGTCGGAGCACTATTCTGGCCACGTCCTTAGCTTGGTTTGGGGCTCCAGTATTGTGGACCAATTGGAAACTAAATTTGAAACGTCAAGAAAGCGGAGGCAATTCTATAATGTAATTTCTCACAGGTGCTGAAACGACTAGAAGTTGCTTAAATCACAGCTGAATTCCTAATTTTCGTGCAGGGTGACTTAGGCGGCTTGGCCACGGCTTATTCGTGCACGTGTGCAGCTGAACAAAATGTTTCTAAGTTCACATCTCCTCTTTGAAAAAAAATTAGATACCCAAGACTTTCCAGCTTGCATCTGGGATTTCGAAGGCGTTCCACGGATCCACCGATCGGCCGAACCTATGGTCCTAGTTACGATTCAATCGTGGTTTACGTGTTTCTGAATCTTGATATGGCTTTTGTTCAGGCCAGAAAGCATGGCGACAAAACTTAAGCTTAATCCGAGCTGTCGCTGATGCGACCCCCAATAATTTGAGTTCCAGGCGCCTTGGACGTCAATGTTCGCCACCGCCACGTGTTTTAGATAGCAAATATAGTAGCAGGCAGGCACAAAGCATCACATACCTTCCTTAACTACAAAAATATAGTCCGCTTCTTGAAGCCGTTGCGAAATTAAGCCTCGAGTTCGAATTCCGCCGTCACAAATATCATTAGAATTTGTCCACGCGAGCGCCTGGGCTGTTTTCGGTGCAGTTTCCATTTGGTCCACAATGCTAGAGCCCCAAACCAAGCTAAGGACGTGGCCAGAATAGTGCTCCGACGAAGGAAATTTTTGAGAACCGGAAGTTACAAGATGGGAGGCATCACCTGGCCTGGCCATGCCGGGTCGAATGACAAAAAATGGGCTACCATCAATGCTAGAAAACAATTTTTAATAGAAAACGTGCTAACAACCATGATTGTATTGCAAATTTCCAAAGAAACTAATTTGGGAATTTTTGAATGAATTTCTTTAGACTGCCTTTATAGTTTTTTTACAGTTTCGAAAACGTCATTTGCCAAAAATCGGACTTTCCACGAACGGATTTGTTTCAGATTTGTACTAGATATCAAGTCACTCTTGAGAAGTTTATCCTAAAAGTTGCATCTCAATACGTGCAAAAACCGCCGAGATATTCGACAAAAACCACTGCCTTTATAGTTATTTTACTGAGTGTATGGCCCTCGGATCCACAGGCTTGAGCTTGAAAAGGCTTCTCGCCTTCATTGAGCCCCTTTCCGATACAGACCACCGGCAGCTGGGCGTTGTGCAAAATCCACCAATCACGCCCGTGCATTTGGACTTTTTTGTATACTGGAAAAGTCTAAGTTTTCACAACAGAAGTGAGAGCAAATATAAAATAAGCTATCGAAAATAGCAATAAAAGCAATAAAAAACACATAGGTAGTTTTTTATGATAATTACACACCTTTGCTCTTGTCGCGCTTGTTCTCATCGACAATATCGATCCGGTAGAGGTTTGAATGCGTAATCGGGTGGACGTCACGAAGTTTTACGTGATCCCTAAATTACGGGTTAGATGGAGACGGAAGAACCGGAAGTCATACCGCTCGCAGAGCCACGTCGCGATGCTTGTGCGAGATGTCCAAGGTGGAATTCAGGCTGAAATATCAGAAATTGACGATGAGTTTGTCTTTCCTTTCTAGCTTCTGTATTTAATAGTGGGATACAAGAAAGTAAGGTAAACCTGCGGCAAATCTTCCGCGCCTCCATGAATCCCAACTTGACGTCGAGGTCGAAGATGCAGTCATCACCCCTTGGCCGACCCGAAAGTGGGCAAACGGCCTCGAGAACGCCTTAAATTTATGATTTCAGCTCTTGCAAACTCCGATGATTAGTTGAGAGTTTAGCTTGAAAGCTATTGACAGCTTTTGACAACTTTCTAACCCTACTAAAAACTGAAAGTTAAAGTAGAAAACCAAAATCTGTTAAAAGCGGGCCTACCTAATAAGACCGTTGTGGCCAAGATCGAGACAATCATTGCCGAGTGAAATAAGCTCTCAGAAACACAGAGTTGCGCGAGTCTGTCATACATATGCGAATATTTTTGCAAGAATTTGTATCGAATATTTTCGCCGCCAGGATGGGCATCCGACGGGAAAAAGCTTTTTTGTAGGCCAGTCAAACTATAGACGATCGGATCCTGAGGCTAAAGAAATATTCATAACGTTTTTGGACAGTTTTTGAGTGGCAACAGATACCGCATTTCCTCTATTTCTTTCTTTGTCCAAATGTCAAGTAGCTATACAGCGTTCGTGGAAAATACTTTATTTGAGTCATGAATGCTCTTGGAGGTGCTTCAGCTGATTGGTGCCTAAACAAAATTACGCTATAAAATATGGGACAGGCCTTTTTGCAGACGGGAGTATAGTTCTCCCCACAGTCCACGTCGTCGTTGCGATGCAGCCAGGCGGTGGAGTTGACGTCAACGGCGCCGAAAACCTAGAGCACATCGATAACGTTTACAGGGTGTCAAAAAACGCCATCGGCATTCCGCCGTTTTACATCCGATCGGTCCAAAAATGGTACCAGAAGTGTACCACGCCACAAATAACCACAATACTGAATTATAGCCCGATCGCTACGGTGGTTCTCGAGTTGCAAAGCAAATACTGTTTTCTCGGAATTCATTACGTTTTTTTCGGCTGTATTTTTTGAATTTGCATAAACTTGTGGCGACGTCCGGCTGTGAATCCCTAACTCCGCCTAAGATCGGGGGTCATTTTGCGTTAACAAAATGCTGAAATGGAATCGAATATTTGTATAATTCTTCTCAGGAGAAAATTTCTAGGAGTAAAGAAGGTTTGCCGCATCATTTCCACTTACTATTTTCAGGGTCTATTCTCACCGGGGCCCCCGAAAAAACGTGAAACAAACTTTATTTTTGGTATAACTCGAGAACCGCTATAGCCTCGGGCTGTAAGACAGCATTGTGGTTATTTGGGGTCTGATACAGTTTATATCACTTTTGGAACCGATCGGATGTAATACGGCGAAATACGAAAGGGGTCATTTTGGGACACCCTGTATTTCAGTTTCGAAAAAACGTCCAAGCAGCGACTCACAATTAGACATGCTCCATTGAATCGTACTGGGTCAAGTCCATGGTTCACTTCAAAGTCATAGGGCTCGCCGTTGACCCAGCCCCATTTGTGATTTTCCTATCGCAGAAAATTTTCTTCCGGTATGGTTGTTACCTTCCTGCTCCCCATCCATGCTTTATCCGCACCCGCAGCGGCTGCAGCTTCTGAACAAACACCGCCTGCTTTTCATCGTGTCTTAAACCCACCGATAATCACCTCATTTTCCCAATAAGAATGGACTGTCGTCAGGTCAGCGTCTTGTTGCAGACAACTCTCACGCGCCGAGACAAAATCCATTGTTGCTCGGTCGGCCTAGTAATCGATTCCCCTTGTCGGTTAACTTGATCTTCTATGAATTCTCTCTTGATCAGCTAGCTTTCCCAGAGGCCGCCCCAGAATTAGAGGCAGCTCGTAGGCAACGCGGCATTCCTATAGACGCAAAATGTATGGGCCAGAACTTATAATTTTATAATTTTGTAACGAAAGCTATCCTTTAAAAAATCCATTTCGAACTTTGTAGAATGAAACAAGGTAATTCTAATGATACCTAGCCCTAACAAAACTGCATGCAAAAAGGATCAAAAGCAAGGCGGCTTTTGTTGGAAATTTGTGCAAAGTGACACTACTGACAAGGAGATGGTCTCAGCTGGGAATCGAATTCGGATTTGAAAATTTGCACACTTATAGAGCTCGACGAGACAAATCGATTGGTGTAACTTTCAGCTGCTGATACAATAACCACGCCGAGTTATAAGCATTTTAAGTTTTTACATACATTTTGCGTTTTTCGGCCATAGCTTCATAGGCCTTCCCCGCCTCCCCATCACCATGGTCTGGTGGCCTAGTGGTGTAGTAGGCGGCCTCCGGGGAATCTAACGAGGGTTCGAACCCGCTCACGACTTTTATTTTTTGCTTTTTCGTCCGAAGGTTCCTCTTTGCTTTCTGAAGAACTTGAATAGCTTTTTACATATTATTTTAACTCCTTTGATGCGCCGACAGCATCGAACTTCACCGCAAAAATTTTTCTTGCTGGGCATCGAGCCCTTGTCCGACCTATGACTCCCATTTCCAAAAAATTATGAAAGTTTTTGTTTGGATAACACACCATTTACCAAAATTACGTTTACTCCACGATTTTTGATATGCTTTGAATTTTCAATTTATTTTGGGACCCGCATAGTCCTTTCGGGTAAAAAATCTAAATTTTTTTCAAAGAGATGTTTTTTAGCCATTTCGCCCCAGAGGAGTTAAAATAATGCGTAAAAAGCTATTCAAGGTCTTCAGAAAGCAAAGAGGAACCTTCGGACGAAAAAGCAAAAAATAAAAGTCGTGAGCGGGTTCGAACCCTCGTTAGATTCCCAGGAGGCCGCCTACTACACCACTAGGCCACCAGACCATGGTGATGGGGAGGCGGGGAAGGCCTATGAAGCTATGGCCGAAAAAATGCAAAATGTATGTAAAAACTTAAAATGCTTATAACTCGGCGTGGTTATTGTATCAGCAGCTGAAAGTTACACCAATCGATTTGTCTCGTCGAGCTCTATAAGTGTGCAAATTTTCAAATCCGAATTCGATTCCCAGCTGAGACCATCTCCTTGTGAGGGTTTTTCTTGCTGTCTTTGGTATCATTCCAACCGTAAACCTCTGTATAACGGCTATTGAGTTTTGACTATTAAGCTGGTTGGGAAAAGTTGCAAGAGCTTAAACTATTTGCCGCGGGATACCCCCGGCTCCTTTGTCCCTTCGTCCCTCCGGCAAATCGCCGTTTTAGGTTTTAGGTAGCTGCTGCAAAAAAAATTGAATCAATGGAGTGGTATAGATACAAAGGGAGATGAATTGCAAACTTTGCAAAATTCGTGTGCAATGCAAACCACTTATTAGACTTTTCCTTGATGTTCTCTCCACAACATCTCCATTCGCTCCTTCGCAACTAACCTTGTAGCAACGCTGTGTTTCTTTGCAAGGAATCCATCCGTCTTCGCACTTTGGATCGTCGAGAACCTTGGGCTAAAGTTTTTTGGCAGTTAACGGCCTTTAATTTTATACCGGGCCCAACGGACGCTGGCAAAAAGCCTGGTGCACTTCGCTGCACAAAGCTGAACTCCAGTTACCACCTGGCTAAATCATCTAGCTTGCAACGACTTTCATAGTACTAAAAACAACCCCGAAAAGCAGGCAAAACAAATCGGCCGCAGGCTCCGCGGGCCCGTAGTTCGTGTAGGTCATATTTTGCCCCGGCGAATCCAGCCACCAGAAATCCACGCGGCCGTTAATTTGCATCTAATAAATGTGTGAAATGACATCCAATGAAAAAAACAAAAATGAACGCAATGAAACCACACATTATAGCCGCCAATCCAGATCGCATTTCCAGGGCTCCACCTCTTCTGTTTGCCTTAAATTATGAATATTATCATGTAAAAGGTTTCGCCGACAAGATCGCTTGGAAGCATACCTAGCATCACCAACTGCTCATCCGAACTCTTTATCGAAGTCAGATGCCCTCCCAAATTGACGCACTCCTTTTCCGCTTTCCAGAAAGCTTGGCCGTCGAGCAACTATAAAGTGTTGAACCAAAAGCTTAGCCAAATTTTGCATAGATATATACTAAGACCTCGGCTATAATTCCCCTCGTTTATGCTGGACCAACCGCTGGTAATTCCGTATGACCGTCAACTGGTGTGTTTCGTTTTTTGCGTTTTTACAAATATCTCGGCTCGCAAGTAGGATTTTCGCGATTACGTTCCAAATTATTGATCGCATTTCGACTGTTGCCAACAATTTAAGTGGCTTAATGCAAAAATTGATTGCAAGAATCCGGAGAATCATCTCTTTGGTCTTACATAGATTTTGCGGCGTGTTGCTCAATACGCACATTATTTGGTGTCAGTTGCATTGTTAGGTAACCAAATTGTGCCGGAAATATACACGTGGTTTTAGGATACTTTAAAAACATTCATTGCTTACCTTGTGGCAACTGTTGGTTGCAAAGACCTTTTCCCAACCATCGCCACATTCCGTGGCCGGGATATCCCTGTCTTCTACTTTGGGCTAAAAAAGATAGTAGTATTGGAGAAGAACCGCAACCTTTGCTTGTGCATTGCCTGCGGGACATGGCGGACATTTCCCATCGCTCCGAAGACGACGTTGATTGGTTTCCTAAGGTTGCAGAAATAAGCTTTTACTAGACTTTGTATGAATTCACGGACGCGTTAGGTGCGCCAGCAGCCAAATCATTTGTTTAATCCCTTTACCCACATCCATATCGGTGATCTCACCCCAGCTCGTGCAGATTTGATGCTAAAGTTAAAATGTCACAGTTTGAAGCATGAAAACTTACTTTTTCTGTAATTCCAAGGCAGACCACTTCGACGGGCCCCGGAATGGTTCTGACCCAAAATTCGCGACGTTGCAGCACAACCTTTTTATATTCTAGAGAGCAATGCAGGACCAAATAACCCTACAAACCGTGCCATTGACCGTCAACGTTAATTTTCGATATTCCGAATCGTTCATTTTTGAGTAGATGCGACGGGGCCTGGTCCTAAAATAGTTTTGACTTTGTGAGAAAGTGGATTCCTCAAAAATCTGTCGTTGCGGCAAGTTTTCCCTGCGACGTTAGGTTTGTACCGAATCCGTGCGCAAAAACTGGTAGTATCAATTTCACCTACCGCTCGAATAATGATGCTGGTATCATTAGCAGGTACCGCGTATTTTGCGTCCAAACTAAAGCCAATAATGTCTCACTACTCACTCCAAATCAAACTTTTCACAAGCTTTCATTGCCTCAATGATCGGCAACTTCACGCCGAGCGAAAATCGGCAGTACCGCCCTTCTGGTATCGATCTCCTCGGGCATACCGCGGCCGAGAGCCCTATCGGAATACGGATAATTAAAAGCTTTTACGGTACCTGCTAAGGCGAAAAGGACCATCATCCGGCCAAACATGTCTGAAACGGTCGTTGGGAAAGCGCACCCTATAAGCAGATGCTTTTGAAGAATTCCACCGGAAACAGGATCGTTTAAATTCAAAGAAACATAACGGCGCTATAAAATTCGGGAGCATTGTAAAAAGCCTGCGGGAGGAAAGCATAACAACGACCCGGCTCCCCGAAATAGACGGTTCAAAAAAATGGTATTGGATTTTAAAGGTGTCCGAGGCTGTATTTTTCCAGTAAGGTGGACAACTAGCTCCTTTATCGGTTTCCCACTTGTTTACCTTAGTTGCGCGTTTAGTATTTGTAGGTGCAAGGTCCCGCAACCTGTAACGCGGGTCTGCAAGTTTTGCAAAATTGAATATGGAAATTTGGGAGCGTCGAATCTCGTTGCGAGCCGTAGCAAAATTACAGGGCCGACCATGGTACTCCGTGATACGTTTTCCATGACCTCAAGCATACAACGCTATTTTTTGGTTACTTTGACGTGAAAATAGAGATGCAACCCAACGTTGTTTCATGACCAGCCTGAGACAAAACAATTTATTCGATCAAAAGAGCGATAAGTATGACGTTTATTGAAGGGGTGCCTAAGCAAAAGTATAAACAAAGATAAGGCCAAGTTACCTTCTTGCAGACAGGAGTATATTTCTGCTCACACTGGACGTTGTCCCAACGATGCAACCAGGCCAAGGCGGTGGCTTCCACGGCACCAAACACCTTGATGATTAGGGTCAAAAGTATGTCGGAACTTAATTTCAAATATCGAGAAATTTCCTACAATTGCACAGTCGCCGATGTAGGTGTTCACGTCGCCCGCATGCCAGATGGAAAAGTCATGGGGCTCATTATTAACCCACTGCCATTGATCGCCGTTCTAGGTCAGCGATACTTTGGCTTCTTGAAGGCTTTACCCTGCGCTTTCCCAGCCAGGCTTTGTCAGAATTGACCGCTGCCGCCGCTTCTGAAATAGATATTTCGAAAATGAGCGGGACATTTGTGAGTGCAAATAAAATTATCTGGTCATGCCAGGTCGGTCTCCAAACTTGTGATTTAAAAACCCACCGATCACCGCCTCATTTTCCCAAAAGGAATGGATCGTCGCCAAATCAGCGCCCTGTTGCAGGCAGTGCTCCCGCGCTGTAACATAGTCCATCGCTACCGCGTCGGCCTGAAGAACGTAAAAAAGAGAAATGTCTATGACAGTGTTGTAGGTGTGTGGTTGTGCGTGAGTTCTTGAGTGCTGGCTCGAACCAAGGGGATACCTTGCGTAGAGCCGTGTGACACCTGAATTGATATGACGAAAGAAGAGAGGACAAAGTTTATTTACGATAACGGCAATAGCCTAAAATAATACAAGCAGCCAGACAAGACGGGCGAAGTGGAAGAGAATGAAAAAGACACGCACAAAAAAGGGGTTGTCCCGGGGGACGGGGAGGGCGCACACAGGGCGTAGTGCAAAGGGGTGCGCCGTACAGGCATCGCGTAATTGAATCAAAAGACTTTCTTCTCTTGCTTCCGCAACATCTTCCTCCTTGAATGAAGAGCTTGACTCGTGATGAAGTTGAGCTTGATGGAGACGACGTTGACGGCACTTCAGTCTTGATATCGCGACGGCGGCTTCCGGATGCGCTTGTGGTGAAGGATCGGTCCAAGGGCATCAGTCTCTTTGTCTTCTTCACAGGTTGTGCTTGATCTTGTTGACGAACTTCAGGTTCGTCGTCGCGTCCTTGTGGTTGTTGAACAACGTCATCGTGTTGTTCAAATTGCGGTTGTTGAGCGACGATTTCGGGCAGTTCAACTTGAGGTCGTCGCGGCACGGCTGGTGATCTTGCCGGTGATCGTGGATGCGACTTCGTTGGCGACTTGATTGGTGTTGTCGGCCGGTGAGCGGTGGGATGGGGAACATTCGGAACAGGTACAATGGGAATCAATGTAGGAGTGGTGGCGGATGATGCAGCTGGCTTCTCGAGAGGCTTGTCAAGAGGTGGAGCAATGTCCTGCACATTGACTTTATCATCGCTGGCAAGATCGAACTCTTCCAGGATATCATCGAGTACGTCTCGAACGAATCGAGCACGAAGCTGGTTGGCATGTCGACGCCAAACGACTCCAGAGGTAGTTTCAACCTCGTACATGGACTTTCCACACAATTTAGAAATACGTCCTTCTACCCAGACAGGTTTGCTAGGTATTTTATAATCTCGAACCCAGACGGTCTGGTCGATTTCGTAGGAACGCTTCTTTGCGCCGTGCTTCCGGTTGTACTGTTCAACCATCTTCATCTTCTCCCCCTTCGGAAAGATGAGATTCGCACAAGAATTGCTGTTGCTCTGAGGCAGACGCAAGCGAGCAATGGGAGTAACGAGCTTTCTCCCGATAAACCTTTCAGCCGGAGATAACTGTTCTGGTGAAGATGGGCAAGGGGTGGACCGATAAGTTCGCAGAAATATTTGCAAAGTTTCAGCGTTAGTCGAACCAGCGGCTTTGCTCAAAGCGCGCTTGAAGGTATCGACGAAACGTTCGGCCAATCCGTTCGACTGGGGATGGAACGGTGGCGTGCGAATATGGGTAATTCCACGTTCCTTACAGAAATCTTCAAACTCCTTCGAAGTGAATTGAGTTCCGTTATCCGAAACGAGCGTTTCCGGATCTCCGAACCTGGAGAAAACATCTCTCAACTGGGTAATCGTCACTCGGCTTGTTGCCACCTTACACTCAAAGATTTCAGGCCATCTTGAGTAAGCGTCGACAACGATCAAATACATTTTTTGATCAATCGGACCGGCATAATCAATATGCACGCGCTCCATTGGACGATTTGGGGTAGGCCAGGGAGTCAATTCACTTTTACAGGCATCTTCTGGGCTTTGTGACAGCCTTCGCATTCTTTCACGATGCGATCGATGTCTGAATCCATGCCAATCCAGTACACATATTGCTTTGCGAGCAATTTCATTCTCGTTTGGCCCGGGTGACCTTCATGAAGCATTTTCAGGATTCGCGATTGTAGCCTTTTCGGCACAACAACTCGCCCCTGCAGAAACAAACAGCCTCGGTGAATTGACAAGTTATTTACAAGACTTTTGTAGGCGTACAACGACGAGCCTGGCAAACAGTCTGGAAAAGAACCACTTTTCAGAGAGTCAATCACACTGCTGAGTGAAAAATCCTGTTCAGTTTGCTCAGCAATTTCCTTGTGTGAAACTGGGATTTGGCTCAATTTATCCTCAAAAACGGCTGAAATGTCGATTTCTATCTGCGAAATCACGACATCTTCTTCAGGATCCGATTTTGGCGGAATCAGACGGGAAAGGGCATCCGCTTGACCAAACTTGGTCGTGTTACGATATTCAATAGAAAAATCGTAGTTGTTCAATTGCAAACACCACCTTTGCAAACGGTTTGCGGTGTGTTGTGGGATTCCTTTTTTCGACCCGTATATCGGTAAAAGAGGCTTATGATCCGTCAGTAATACAAAACGCCTTCCGTAGATGTATCCGTGGAAGCGCCGAATTGCGAATACGAGGGCTAAGCCTTCTTTTTCAATCTGGCTATAGTTCTTCTCTGCCACAGTCAATGCTCTGCTAGCATGTGCGATTGCTTTTTCAGTTCCATCAGCGAATCGGTGGGTAATGACTGCCCCAAGGCCTTGCTCACTGGCATCAGCGGCGACGACGATCGGCAACTTGGCGTCATAATGACAGAGTAACAAATCGGAAATTACAATTTCCTTGAGCGACTGGAACGCTCTTTCACAGTCCTCACGCCAGAGAAACTTTGCGTCTTTTCTCTTCAACTCGTCAAGCGGGGCGCGCAACTGTCGCATACGAGGAATAAAAGACTGGTAGAACGAAACCATGCCCAAAAAGCTTTCCACTTCTTTGAGGCAGGTAGGTCGTGGCATATTTGCTATCGCAGCCGTGCGTTCGCCATCGGGTCTTCGGCCTTGGGCATCGAGAATGAAGCCAAGATACTTTACCGAAGCCTGGCCGAACGTGCACTTTTCCATTTTGACGCGCAATCCGAACGTTTCGATTCGCTCAAACAACTGACGTACCCTGTCGTCATGCTCCTCCTGGTTCCGGCCGGTGATCAACAGATCATCCAGGTAGGCAGCGGTACCGTCCAAGCCTGCGATCAAATTATCCACAATTTTCTGGAAAATACCGGGGGCTGTTTTCACACCAAATATCAATCGTTGATACTGATAAAGTCCCTTGTGTGTGTTGATTGTCAGGTATTCTTGGCTAGAAGCCTCAACCTCGACTTGTAAATAAGCATCCTTCAAGTCAATCTGGGAGAAAACTTGTCCACCGTTGAGCTTGGTGAAAATTTCTTCCGCGGTGGGAAGAGGATGATGGTAATCTTGCAACGCATCATTCAAGCCGGTAGAAAAATCACCGCAAAGTCGCAATGAACCGTCCTTCTTCTTGACTGGAACGACCGGAGCCGCCCATTCGCTGTAGGTGACTGGTTTCAAAACAGTCAAATCAACGAGACGTTCAATTTCCTTTTCAATGGCTGATTCCATCGAGAATGCGACACGTCGGAATGGCAGAAATATTGGCTGCGCATCGGCTTTGAGCTGCAACTCAGCCTTAGCAACAGTGCATAAGCCTAGGCCATCCGAAAATACACTTGGGTATTTTTCAACAAGTTCCTTTTCCAGCTTTGATTGCTTCACTTGAACCTTATTGACACACAATTCATCGAAACAGGATGCGAATTGTGGCAGCTGATTGATCCAATCCAGCCCCATCAACCGAATGTCTTTGGTGACAAAACAACGGCCATGTCCCTCAATGCCTTTCACTTGAAAGCGGGTTTCAAACAATCCTTTCACGTCAATTCGACTACCGTTGGCAGCTCGTAGTTGAATATCCGACGGCGTAAGTGGTGGGCAATTCAATTGATGCCACACAGCCTCGTCAATAATAGTTACTGCAGCGCCAGTATCCAATTGTAGCGTAAAATGGATGTTTCCGATTGAAATCTCGACGTCCTTGCGCGTCGAATCAATAGCATTGATTTGCACGACCTGGTTCACCTTCGGTTTCCAGTCCTTGTTTCGGGGGTTTTGTTTTCCTTGCTTGGAAAAATTACCTCCACGGTTTCCAGAATCTGAGCGACACTCATTTGCCCAGTGTCCTCGCTTTCCACAATGATGACACACATCATTTCGCTTGTCTCCACGGGGCCGATCATTGGTATCACAAGGCTTCGGGCCACCATTGCTAGAGGTAGGCTTTGGGCCCTTGTTCCAAGTCTTTCGGTATCCCGACTGCTGGATACGATTCACATTGGCATGCTGTTCGACCACAACATCCATGTTCAGGCTCGTCTGCAAGTCACACTCGCGCAGCAGATCATCCAGTTTCACGTCATTCTTTGACTCAAGAATGCGGATCAATTTCTTGCGGATGTCGCGGTGTGCCTGGTCTGACAGTCCAGCAACGAAAAGTAAACACTTTTCTTCATCTTCCTTCATTTCCTTGACGCGACCTTGCTCGTATAATTTGTTAACGCGAGCGGCGTAGGATCGCATATCCTCATCGTGCTCCTTCGCAACGCGAAAGGCGAGGAAACGTCGACTGAAAAGCGACAGCTTTTCTCCAAACATCTCAGTCAAATACTTGACGATGTCGTCGTATGCGATGGAGGCCAGCTCTTTGGGTCGAGCATGATCCGCTAGCAAGCCATAGGATTTGGCATCCAGCATCCCGAGAACAAGATGCTTTTTGTTCTCCTCCGAGATGCGCGATTCGGTGGCGATGAGGTTTGTGAACCGCTCATGCCATTTTTCGAACGTAATCCCCTGGGACGGGTCATACTCGAATCGACTTATGCGAGTGGCTAGAGCGCCCAACTCGACTGCATTCAGAGGCCTTTGGCTTTGGCTTGAATCTTCGCTAACCGAGTCCGTGTGCGTTTGGACCTCGGCGCGGATCCGCTCGAGCTCAGCCATGAGCTTGGCTTCTCGCTCTTGTCCAGCGACCATGACAGCGGTCATCTGCTGGTTCGCGGCGGCGAGCTGCTTGAGCACGTCCTTGAGCTCGGGGTCGTCGGCCATTCTTCAATTCGGGCTCGAATCCTTGATCGCCAATTGTTGTAGGTGTGTGGTTGTGCGTGAGTTCTTGAGTGCTGGCTCGAACCAAGGGGATACCTTGCGTGAGAGCCGTGTGACACCTGAATTGATATGACGAAAGAAGAGAGGACAAAGTTTATTTACGATAACGGCAATAGCCTAAAATAATACAAGCAGCCAGACAAGACGGGCGAAGTGGAAGAGAATGAAAAAGACACGCACAAAAAAGGGGTTGTCCCGGGGGACGGGGAGGGCGCACACAGGGCGTAGTGCAAAGGGGTGCGCCGTACAGGCATCGCGTAATTGAATCAAAAGACTTTCTTCTCTTGCTTCCGCAACAGACAGTAAAAGATGAATTAAATCTCCATATTGCAAGCAGTGAAAGCCTGAAAAGGCCGCAGCCCGCGGATCCCCGAACGGAGCTTCGGCTTTCAAGCTAGCGTAGCGGCAATACATGAATACATGTTTGGGACACTCTTTGTAGAACTGTGATTATCCAAAAGCTACCTTATAACAACGTTGCGATTGCTTGCAAGGAATCCATCCGTCCTCGCACTTTGGATCGGCGAGAACCTTGGGCTAAAGTTCCGCAATATATATGCTAAGCTTTAACCGAATACCGGTCCCAACGGCCGCTGGCAAAAGGCCTGTTGTACATCACTACACGCCTCGCTACCCCAGAATCCGTGTGTCTGAACCGTTTGTATTGTTGGTTCTTTCGGGAGTTCATCAGAGCTAGGGAGGCCTTAGACCCTGACCAAACACAGCTCTACCAACTTACTCCAAAAAACAGACAAAATCTAGCACCCGCTGGCTCGTTTAGGCCGTAGTGGCTGTAGGTAATATTTCCAGCCGCCGGATCCAGCCAATGAAAGCCGTTGGCGCCGTTGAGGTTCATCTGTAAAGCTCCGAATTTTTTCACGGCGATCCCAAAAACGTAGCAAGCAGACCACATCGATCTTCGAAAGTAGGGAGCTAGACAAGAGACCAGGGCCGTAACAAACCCGAAATTTCGGGGGCGGGCCGGCGCCAAGAATGTTTCCCTAATGTGGCCAAAACTGCAGCGCCGCAGGGAAAATTTTTTGAACATATGGGGTTTATGACACTAAAAGTAGTGTTAAAAATAGCTTAATAAAGCGCCGCATGGAAAAAATTTTTAAAAAATCAGAAGGGTCCCCCCTTATGAACTTTGCGGCCCACGGCCGATTCCCCCCGTGTGCCCCTACCCACACTGTTACGGGCCTGCAAGAGACGAACCGACCTGAACGCCGCCGATCCAGATCGCGTGTCTAGGGCTCCACTTCTTCTGCTTCCCTTAAGCATTTCAAACGATCAACCCCTCTTTAAAAGCTAACCTATCATGATGAGCTGATCATCCGCGCTTCTAATTGGCGCCAGATGGCCTCCCAAACCCACGCACTCTTTTCGGCTTTCCAAAAGCTTGGCCGTCGAGCAACTAAAGAATTGTCAGTAAAATGTTTAAATGCAAATTTGAAAAACAGGGCGCGCTTACTTTGTGGCAAGTTTTGGTTGCAAACACTTTTTCCCATCCATCCCCGCATTCATCGGCAGGGATATCCTTGTCTTCTACCTTCGGCTAAAACAGAATTTGGCCAATCCTGCAATTGGAGCGACTTTATCCTTGTTATCCCCTCTAGGACATGGCGGACATTGTCCATCACTGCGAAGTCGGCGTCGATCGGTTTCCTAGAGTTGTAAAATTGCCTGGTATTTTTCACCCGGTTAATTATTGTGTTTTTTAATATACGTTCAGGTATCGCGTTACTAGTGCTGCCCATCACCCTGTCAATGCGCAATCGATCACGATATCCAATTCGCGACCAAATAGCTGGTTCGTTGCTTGTCGCGGTGCGAGCTTGTTTTTAGCAAATGCACGCCCAAAAACCCAATCAAGGTTTGGTAGGTAAAACTGACTTTACTCCCCCTGAAGTTCCTAAATATTTTTAGCTGTGACTTTTTATTTTACATTAGTTTGAGCTGCAATTAAAACGCTTAGTAGATTTTTTCAGCCCTACCGAATAGTGTGGCCAAAATCTCTACAAAATACCGGAAATGTCGATGGGACGCACGTTTCGGGGGTAAAGTAAATTCCAGCCCAACAATTCTTGCCCATCCCTTTAAACCAGTCACCCACCTCCATATCGGTGATCTCGCCTCAGCTGGCGCAAATTTGATGCTAAATTTGGTGATGTGTCGTGGTTTAAAGCATGGAAACCTACTTTCTCTGCAATTCCGCGACAGACGACTTCAACCAGCCCCGGGATCGTTCGAACCCAAAAGTCACGATGTTGCACGACGACCTTTTTGTATTCTGGAAAGGAATTACGCATTTAATCGCGATACTAACCATGCCATTGGCCGTTAACGTTAATTTCCGATACACCGGATCGTTCATTTTTGAGTAGATGGGCTGGCGCTTGGTCCTAAACGAATTTTATTATTATTATTTAAAATCGAATATAAATAAATATATTATTTATTTATTATTATTTAAAATGGGCTCGGCAGCAATGAAAGCGTTGGAAATTTTTGTTGCCGCACGTTTAGATACGGAATCCAAGCTGAAAAAACTAGTAGTATACATTTAACCTACGGCTCGAATAATAGTGTTGGTATCGTTAGCCGGCACGGCGTATTTGGCGTCCAGACTGAAAACGAGTTTTAAAAGCTTTAATGACGGCGCGATCCGATATTACCATCTTTCCAAACTAACTTTTCACAAGCTGTCATCGCCTCAATGATCGGCAGCTTCACTCCGAGCGAAAATCGGCAGTACCGCCCTTCTGGTATCGATCTCCTCGGGCATACCGCGGCCGAAAGCCCTATTCCGGTACCATTACAAATAAAACCTTTTGCCATACCTGCTAAAGCGAAAATAATCAACGCCCGGCCCAGCATCTTTGACGCGGCCGACGGGAAAATCGAGCTTTATAAACAACACCTATTTTATCGCTTCCGCCGGAAGGTGGCCGCTTATGATTCGGCAGCCTCGACTCTTAAGAATTCAAAAGAGCGCTGTCATTAAAAAGGAAAATACACGTAAATATTTCCATCCTTTTGTAGCCGTGCCAGTGCTCGTTCCATGAGCACATGGCTAGGAACGAGGGTTCTTTAGGATTTCCGGGGGGGGAAAGTATTTCCGGGGGGAAACCAAATTTTTCCTGTTTTTCCCGGTTGACCTAGTAATCAAATATAAAGTGTTTTCACATTGTTTTTAGTAAATTTTAACTATATTTAAAGTAGAAAAACCTTTCAAAAAAGTTAGAAAAATGTTTGAAAAAGTCGAAAATTGGTCATTTTGGGTCTTTCCCCCCCGCTAATCCTAAAGGTTCTATAGGATTTTTTGGACCTAAAATTAAATTTTTAATTAAAATGTGGGTAGTTTTTATGCTCAGGAATAGTTAAAAACCATTTAGAAACGCATGCGCTATTTGGAAAAAAATTTAGGCTTGGGCCGAAAAAATTTGGTTTCCCCCGAAATACTTTCCCCCCCCGGAAATCCTAAAGAACCGGAACGAGAAAGGTATTGGAACGTAACCGATATCTAAAATTTTTTTAGTCCGACTCATCGCAAAGTGGAGCTGGGGCAACTGCGAGCCGTTCGACTACGCGACCTCAGGAACCGGATGTGGAGACTGGTACCCGTATTGCTTCAGGGTAGGTATTTTTGATCTGCTAACCACGTGTTTCGATGACATAGTAATACTTGACAGGAACACTAAGATCAATAATACGAAATAGGCGCAATGCCTAACACGAAATCTTTCTTACGATTAGGTGTACCCGAAACGCGCGACAACTGGTCCCGCCGTACCGCTGGAGCCAAATGCGACCACAACGACTTTGCCACCATTTGCAAGAAGGTAAGTAGTGTACGCTAGACTGTGCGGGAATTTCTTACTTTCTAACGATCTAACGAGATTCAAACGTGGATTTTTAGAGAGGCATGTGAGCGAATTCACTGCAATGGCAGGAATTCAACGGTTTATGGATAATTTATTTCAAAATAAATCTTTCACTTGAAAAATAGGTTTACAAACTCGCAAGTTGTCCAACGTTGATTTTTCGATAAGGGGCCAAGCATCACGTGGCGGCAACGATGGGCGCCTGCAAAAAATCAGACTCAGTATCAACATTCTACCTTTCTGCACACCGTCATGTACGGATCTGTACACGTAATGCTCACCCAACGGTGCCAACCGCCGGGGCCCAGAGTATACTTTTCGGCGTTGATCTGAAAACCAGAGTGAAACCCTGAAATGGTTATTCTCTTCATCGGCTTCGATATCTGGGTAAAACCTACCCCAAGACAGTTGAAGTAGTCGGCATTCCCTGCTGGCTTATTATACGACGTCCAGTAGGCGAGGTTCAGGTCGGTCGCGTCTGCCCAGATGTATTCACCGGAAACTCCCTACAAGCCTATGTCATACTCACTCCGATGTCATACCCGCTTGGCTCCCAGGTAAGCCACGGCTGAGACGTTTGGGTGGGCGGTGATTACTTCTGAAACAAAAATGCGCTTATTATTGGGATTAGCTCTTTCTGGTCTTCAAAAATTTTATCCCCTTAAATTGTCAGAATTGTCAGATATCCCCTGATCGATATTATGAACTCCTGTTCTGATTATGTTAGCTCCGCTGTGTTAGCACCCGCTGTTTAGCAAGGGATTTCTATGCGTGCGCGACCTGACACTCATTTATCTTGTGTCTTATCTCGCGGCTAGCGAGGGATCCGCTAGCCCTCTCCTCACTTTGGACTCCCTGCACATGTAAAATCTGTGCTAGAAGACTAGCTAACACCCTTATGAGTTTTTTATTAAAGTTTTTCTGCCTGTGGCGCTGTTTATTACTGTTTTTAAGACGGTTTTTACTTCTCAGTAACCTATTTTTCCAAAATTTTTCGTCAACTCGCAGTCAACTGCAGTCAACTGTCCATAAAAAATTTTCGCCTGCGGCGCTTTTTCTATGTTGTTTTCACATGAATTTGACCGGAACGAACGCTTTTTCTAAGTTTTTTTACCAGCGGCGCTGTTAAAACAGCGATTTTTGAATGTTTTTCGGACGGGCGGTGAATCTTACAAAGGCCCTTTGCTGATGAAAAGCTATCGCGCGCCCCTGCGCCCTAACTACAGTACCCCACCCCACCGAGCCCCATTACGCCAGCCTATTGCTTTCCTTTCCAAAAACCAAAAGTGAGGAGAAAGAAGCAGAAATCAAAGTAAAAAAAATAAGATTACGATGAAATGGCCAATAGCTATCCTTTCCATTTCAGTAACCGAGTAAGATGGAGGCCCCTTGATTAACTTTTATGGTCCTTTTATAGTAAGAGAGGTGGTATTAGCCCTGAATAACTTCTTTCCGGCGCATTTTTTTGACCAAATGCTACATTTGAGCATTTCTAGGTCGTTTCCGACCCCAAAAAAACTCTTTGGGCGAGGGCAATAAAGTTCTCATAATAAATGCGCCCAAATCGGGTGCGGTCAGCGATTAGATTGGTTTCATTACCCATTCTGAAATGGGATACCGGTTGTAAGGGGGTGAATGTTTTGTCTCATAAAAATAATCAGAGCGGCGCCGTCCATGTGATGATTCTAACTGCACTTTTCAACGCTGAGTGTATTGGAAGAGGTCAGCGATGCCCAAGGACCTGAAACCCTCATCCTACTCTTCTTGTTAGCATTGACTTCGTATATTTCAGAATCCGAACTAATTATTGCGCAACTAAAATCGATTCCTAGTTCTACGATGATGCCATGAAAGTAAGAAAAATAAGGTAGAGTAAGTTTATAAGGATTTGGCAAAGCCGCAAGCAACGCGGCTTTTTCTCCACATCTTCGGCTTCTTCTTTAGGTAGCAAAACGTTAACCGCTAATATCTATCGTGCCTCAACTTCCGGAAGCAAAATCGAACAACGGACGAAGCTCCATTCCATCCTGCTTCGCGCGTGAGAATGTTGAAAGCGTGATTGGTGTTGTAGGAGCTCTTTAGGCTTTGTAGAGTGCGGAATTATAACCTTATTTCAAGCATAACAATTTTTTACTTTGATTTCTGTTTCTTTCTCCTCACTTTTGGTTTTTGGAAAGGAAAGCAATAGGCTGGCGTAATGGGGGCTCGGTGGGGTGGGGTACTGTAGTTAGGGCGCAGGGGCGCGCGATAGCTTTTCATCAGCAAGGGGCTTTGTAAGATTCACCGCCCGTGTTTTTCGGAAGGTGGCGACCGTGGGGGGAGGTCGAGGAGGTCGACAAAAATTTTTTCAAGTTGCACCCTCCCCAAAAATTGGGCTCGTGTACGCCCGTGTACGATCATTAGGCTTACGACTAATGATCTCATTTTCTTCGAGGCTCATGACGGTTGTGACCTCTGCTCCCCATTCCTTGCAGGTGTGGTCACCGTAAAAATACGTGCCCGCCTCCGGTGTTGCCTAAAACTATCGGCGTTAGAGCTTTTTTGGCAGCGAGGCAACGCGCTCTAAAAACAATAAAGTACCCGATAGCATTGTTGCGTGAAATTCGACGCGGTCCAACCCTCGTCACACGTCGTGGCCACTACTACCGGTGTGTTTCCTTTTTCGCTATCATCAGCGCTCATTTCGCGTTTGCAAATCGGCAAATATAGCTCCTCGCATGTCGCATCAATTAAAGACTCGCCACTTGCCTGCAACAGGCTGCATTGGCACTTTCGAATGCAGCTGAACCTAAGGGGTGTTGCTCAAAATGCATACCGCAATCGCTACGCAAAATTGGCCTTCTGCAGAAGGTGCGGTCCACGAGCCGTAGTCCCAATTGAACCAGTCCAGCCATCGGAAGCGCGTAGGAGTGTAGTCGTTACTCGCAAACTGTAAAAATCGTGAAGAAGTTTCTTCTGCCTATGTAAGCTAATTTTGTTGTCGGTTGGTCTTTTTCTCGATCCAGTAAATTTCGGAAAGCAGAAACACAGCGTCAAATGCTGCGCAAGATAGCCTTGGCCTATTCCAAAAGGCTAACCTAAGTAAAAACATTATACAGCAAGCCCAATTCTTTATGCCTAAGCCCATTTAACAACTCCGATTCTGCAGTTCATATACAATCCTGGTTGTGAATGCTTATACAGTGCTAATTTTAAAAATGAGTTTACATAATGCATACCCAAAGTCCGCCGGTCCACACGGGAGTCAGGCCGGCCTCGGGATTGTAACCTAAAAATGCCCATACTTTCTTGCGAGCCTTATCTTACTGCTAAGCAATTCTCTTTCCTCGTCGCTAAGCACTGACGTCAGGTAGCCCCTAAGCACCCTGCACGATTGCACGGCCTCGAAAAACGACTGCTTCTCGAGTATCTGAGGCATTACAATAAAGATTCCGATTGTTCTAGGCACTTTGTAGCAGCGCGCCGTCGACGACGCTGCGATCCAATCCTCGTTGCAAAGCGCCATCCGCTGGCAGAGCCACGTACGGTTGGGCGGCCCCAGATGCTAACAGCATCGCGTTGTGTCTAAAAGACCAACCAGCCTTGAAAACCCGTTTCACTGCGCGCAAATTCGGGGCCGTTCGTAGATTATCAGAACCAGAAGTTTTGTAGACCCGAACTCCGCAAGAGTAAAGCAAAAGCAAAAAACAAAAAATATTTTATGCTAACGGAATCGAAACAGAAATTACGCGCTTCTGATTCGGCTCAGATTCACTTTTTCAATATTTCGTTGTTAAGACAGCCGAATCATCTAACAAAGAGACCTTTTTTAGGGGTTTCTAGCGTGTCTAAAATTGGCCAAGCCTATTACGGTGAATTTTTGCTAATTAAAAATTGGTTTCGAGAATCTGCGAAACAGCCATAATCAGAAATTCATCAAGCCTGCAAGGGCGATAAACCGCGAAGATGGGCAGTTTTGGGAATTTGTGGCTTTAAGCTTCATGGGTTTTTAAATAGAATCGCTTTGCAGATTCTGAAAACTGCGTTTTGATCAGCAAAAAATTCTGCTCAAAACATGCATGGCCTCATTTGTATCCTCCGTGGAAACTCAAAAACGTGGCTTTGTAAGTAAGCCAAGCCAAGCCCAACCTTCTTGCAGATCGTCGCGTGGTTTGTAGCCAAGCAGTCACTGCCTCCAAAGCGATGCACGCGGTTCTTGCATACCGTAACGTCTGATGCACAAAGCTGAAAACTCACTAACTCGACTTCTTTACGATTCGACCATACCCCAAGGCATTCAAGTATTCGTCCGGAGCCGGGCTTTCCCAAAATCCCACCCGGAACGGTTCGAGATTAATCCAAGGGATCGTTCCTCCAGTTACCATCTGAAATGAAACCTTGCTGCTTGGAAACGAACGCCCACCGCACGGCCTCCCAGCCAAAATCCGGTGAGGCTTACGCCGCGTTGCGCCATTTCTAGAGAGGCGACTATGACACTCGCATTAGAAAATTACTGATCAGAAACTCCATTTCATCGAAAGATTCGATGGTCGCGGTGATTGCGTCAAATTTCTTGCAAGTGTCCATAGCTGCTGTCCAGTTTTGTCCGGTTCCCACGATCTTAATGTTAAGACGGAGTAACCATGGAGACTTCCATGAGCGGGAGAGAGGAGAGAGAGGGAAGGAGAGTGAGTGAGTGACTGCGAGAAAGTACGAAAGAAAGAGAGAGGAAAATAGAGGAGGGAGAATAGAGAGAGAGAGAGAGAGAGAGAGAGAGAAAGAGAGAGCTAGATAGTGGTTTTTACTTTCAGATACGGTGAAAACAAGAAAATAACCAAAAGCTTGGAGAAAGTACAAAAAGCCGTTCATTAATAAAGAACCTTATAGCATTTTGCGTATGCTTGTAAAGAGTCCAGCCATCATCACAGATCGGGTCTTCGGGTGGTACATACTACAATAAAACCTTGCTTGTCAGAACAGTCTACAGTAGCGGTCAAAAAGTTATCAGTCGGGAAAGCGTCTGTATCTCGAAGGTCCTAGCTCGAAATTTTGTGAAAATTTTACTCTAGGTCAATTATGCAACGGGGAATCCGATGCCGACATCAAAATCATGCGAATTTTTTATTTTCATTGTTAAATTGGCAATTTAAAATACTCTACCAAAATCAACCTTTTCTTGAGGCATTTTTAGATTTCAAAAACATTGCCATCGGGTTCAGGATGGTGGAAAACCACTATCTATCAATTTTTGAAACATCCATTGGCTCACGGCTTGCTCCTGCCAAGCCTGGAAGTTGCTGTCGCGGAGTCATTTTGGTGCCCCGAACGCCCATTGGGCGCATTTCTGCCCCGACGACGAAAAACACGAGAAAGTGGTTTTCGACCATCCTGAACACAATGGCATTATTTTTGGAAGCCAAAAATGCCTCAGGAGAAAGTTGATTTTGGCGGCATTTGTGTAACTGCCAAGTTATGAACTAAAATGGAAAATTCTTAGGATTTTGATGTCGGCACCGAATTCCCCGTTGCCTAGTTGACCTAGAGTAAAATTTTCACTAAATTTAGAGCTAGGACGTTCGAGATGCAGACGCTTTCCCGACCTGATAACTTTTGACCGCTACGGTATTATTACCGGCTCGTCTAGCCGCTTGCATACAGCTGGCAAGACCGAGTCGCAAGTCAGGTTATAAAACCACCCATTTTCCTAAAGAAGTTGACGATAACGCCCAAATACGGCTAAAAATGCACCATTTGTCGGGCAGTGCAATAGGCGTTAGCGGTCCTCCTACGCCCTGCACCCAATGCCCGTAAGAGACCGGCTGCCCATCAAGCCAATGAACATCGAAGTCATCGCGGTCTCGGGTCATCTAGGTGTTAATTTTTATTTGCAGGGTTTGGATGGAAAACACCATTTGACCGCCGATCCAAACATTTCCTGTTAGAAGGCCGCTGTTGCTCAACCAGGCTTCAAACAAACGCATTTATATCCTGAAATTTGGATACTTACTCCCGATAATATTATTCTCGGCCTCGTCGCGGATCGACGTCAGGTGGCCGCCCGAATCGACGCATTCCAGCTCCGCGTCCCAATAATTGATGGCAGGAAGCAGCTAGGAGAATGCAGGAGATCACAAAAAAGTGTCCCCTCAAGCGGTGCGCAGTCGTCGCATGCAATTTTGAGGATTTAGGTAGGTATCTATGGGGAGCTTTCGAGGAAACCAGCGTTTTTCTTTTCATCGGTCAAGCGTTTAAATGGTTAAAAACCTGAATAGAGGTGATTTACGCGACAGCAGCCTATTAATTGCCATGATGAAACAGAAAAAGCGTGTTCTTGCATAGCGTTTCATATCAAAAAATGTGTCAACAACTTGTTTCTGCGGGAAACTGCTTCTGCAAGTTATTTCGGCTTTTTAAGGTTTTTTAATGGTATAGAAACCATTTCAATCCGAGCTCCCTACGGACCATTAGAGGCGGTTTTTTTGGGAAATCCATTAGATAGCTTTTTATAGATTTGGCCTACCTCATAGCAATAACCTTCGTGTACAAGCCCTGTACAAACTGGTAACGTGGTCGTAGGTATCGTCGGCGGCGGAGTCGATTCGGTTGGTAACTGACACCCATTTTCTTCGCATTCAGTATTTCGGGCTACCTGCAGTGTCAACGTAAATGGCTCATCGCACATCCCAAAGTCCACTCCGGTCTGCTCCGCTTTTGCTCACCGATCGTCGTATTTACGTGCACAAAATCCGGTTCCGGATCGCCCGCTCCGTAATAACGACATGAGAAATCTAAGCAATAGTGTTCTCCTAAAACCCTAGCAAACCGAGCCCCAAACACCTTTCTCCCTTGTGGGCACAAATTGCAAAGACGTCCTGTTAGGGGTAGCCCTCACGCCTAGTCCTCGAATAAAGAAATGTTCCTCGCAAATAAATTACATTAGTAAATGTCAGGATTACGGTAGCCAAGGCTAACATTAGGAATTTGGAATGTACGTCCCTGTTGGAAGAAAAAACTTTGAAAATTTCTGCCTTTCTGGTATCCATAGAGCATACCGGACGCCCGCCAAGCTTTCGCGTCTTTGCGAGGAGATGAATAGCCGGAATCTTTCAGCGGGGAAAAATGTTGCGTAGCAGAATGTAGAGACGGATATTGTAGAAGGCTTTCTAATGGTATGAAATGTTAGGTATGGTAAAATAGATTCGGACACATGGTTGCATTCGAGACTGGGTGTCCCAAAACAATCGAACCGTTTGGCATTGCGCCGCGTTCCATCCAATCCGCCCGAAAATTACGGTGGAGGTGTATCAGACCTAAAACCAAAACAATCCTGAATTATAGCCCCATAGCTACCGTCGTTCTAGAGTTATAACGAAAATACTGTTTTTCGGAACTCTAAGCAGTTTTTCGGCTTTTTTGGACTTTGCATCGACTTCCGGCGGCCATTCCTAATATTTCTTAGGG